TAATAATAATAATAATAATAATAATAATAATAATAATAATAAAAAAGCAGGAGCGCGGTCTGCCGACTACATTCTGTTCCTGCTCCTCTGGGATGTAGGCTAAAAACACATTCTTTATCTCTCCAAAAACACCGCCACGGTAGTTAAGACATGTCACCATCTGTTGGGACACTAAACAGAAAAGTCTTCAGTAATTGTATCAACTTAACGAGATCAATCATATCGTTTTAAAAATGGGGTTCAGTGAGCGATTATTGTTCTAACTGCTATAGATAGCTCTTTATATGACCTCAGTTTGGAGTAAATGTGATTACATGTATTTCTGAAAGCTGATGAGCTAATGGCTAGTCTGAGACCAAACAACTTTAGTCTAAATAGTCAAAACTGTTCACACAAGCCTTTACATCACCCTCAGTTTCACATAACTTGATTATGTCATCGGTGTTGAGGCCTTCTGCCACGTGGACATGTTCAGAACACAGTCAGTCGTCCAGGTCAGTGTTGTGAAAGCGTGCTTGATGTTTATACATCTGCTCAAGACTCTTAAAATAATATTATTTGAATCTTAGAGAAACTGTTCTCACGGTTTGAATGTCTAAGCCTGTTTAGAAAATGTGTAGACCTGTGAAGATGATATCCATCAGAGAAAGTGATGTTTTGTGTACTGCTACCTTAAAGGTAACTAAGCAGTGGGTTGTGACGTCATTGCTTCTCGCAGAGAGAAATAATAGTAAAGCCGAGTAAAGCTGGGATTCTCCAAATAAATTCTCTCCGGCTGAGTTCTTAAGTCATTTTGTCATTATGAAATAAAATAACTCACAACATAATTTTGTATCCTACTGTTGCAATGCAGTTAACTAGGGAAATATTGACTTTATTGCTTTTTTCTGAGGGGTAGAGCCAGATTGTCTATAGGTGTAGAATCTGTCTGAACTGTGTGAAGCTTTTGCTTTCCTAAACAAAACTCTTTCTAGCTGTCAATATTTGAGTCCTTTTTTAAATATGAAATACACCACACAAATGTTAGTATTTTTGGTAACATTTTATAATAACTGCACCTTATTTAGCCTCACATTATCATCAGTAAATGCTTGGTTAACCTTGAAAACATCATTAATTAAGGATGAGTCACACTTAATAAGCTATAAATTAACACATTTATTAATGTTTTACTCTTAAAGACTAATTACTTCCAAACCCATCATACTCATTATTTATTCATGCTTAATAACTCATGAACTAACTATGCTATATAATGTGCGTATTTGTATGTAAATGCTTATATAAATGTACTTTCACACCATGTTAGACATGTATTAGTGATTAGAGAACATCTGAACTGACTATCTACTAACCTTTGTTAAGCATGATTAAACAACGAGTATATTGGTTTTGGAAGTAATTAGCCTTCATGGGTAAAGCATTAAATGTGTTACTAAATAAAGTGTAGTTATTATAAAAATGTCTTGTTTTGTTTTAGTTTGTGTGAACCACTGAACTTGTTTGAGGATTATATTGTTTGCAATCAACTTAGGTGGTACTGCTCTGTTTAGTCAAGGGTGCCAACAAAATCATATTCATAGGGTGGGACACAAAAAGGCACGACAGACATTTATTCATCTTGTCATTTATAAGATTTTAAAATAGTACAGTAAAATGGAAATTCTGATTTAGGCCTGTTTCATTTTGATTTACAGCTCTTCACTCCTAAATTCATATTCAGAGGGATTTTACGCTTATTACATTTTCTGGTCTGGTGGGGCAGCAAATTTATAAGKGTGGCCATTGCCTCCATTGGTCCCCTCTTGGTGGCACCACTGAGTTTAGCCATTAGCTAGTCAGAATTAAACTCTATTGTTCCAAACTGAGACCATTAAAAGCGCTATCTACAACCTAATATAGTTGTTTATAACATTCCCACAGAATTCCATTCCAAAAGATCTGAACTGTCCCTTTAAAGTAACAGATACTGTAAATATAACACCATCCCTTGTGTGATGCTTTTCTTGTTATAATACAGTATGTTCAGGTTACTGCATTCAATACCACATGAATACTTATGGTTGTACTGAGATGTATAGTATCTCATTCAACTAAACGTTTTTATACATGACATTGTTTTATACACTGTTGTGCCTTTTCATTAAAGTTCAATCAAATGTTGATATAAAGAAGACTTTGACAGGTTATAAGGTAAAAAAATCGAAATGTTTTCCGTGACCCTGTGTGCCTGTCCTCCACAGGTTCCCTCAATAAGGAGCACAAAATCTCAAAGCAAGACAGAGACTTCCTGTATGCTCCGGAACRGGCCCCCAATCCAATCCAAGAAAAACCAGAATGCAGGTCATTAACTTCGAATCATAAAGTGCTCTCCAGCAGCCACTCAGACCTGGACAGTTTGTCTCGGGCTCGGTGAATGTTTGTCGAGCTCTCGAGCTGCGGCAGTTCCCCGCTCATCGACAGGCTGCGTTTGGAGCGCAGGCTGGCCCCAGTTTTTGGGTAGGCCATGTAGCAGCGCTCCCTGTATGTGTCCGCGTTAAGCGAGTGCCTGCGGTTCACTCTCACGCCCCCCGCTGGCACAGTCATGTAATGTCGGGAAGCGTGGTGCGGCCGCGGCCCCCTGGGAGCGGCAGTCCATTTGACCGGCTGGCCAGGCACGGGGAGAGCGGCGGCGGCGGTGGCCGTTTTAACCTCTGAAGAGTTATTCCGGTTCATGTTATTGAGCTCCACGTTCGCCTGAGCWTCAGCTCGCCGGGCCTCTGAGGGTTTGGGTGCGGCTCCAGAGCGTTTGGGCCTCGGCGCTCCCGGAGAGGCTGGGTGCCAGCTGTGACTGCCAGCAGAGGTAGAGACCGTGCAGTCGGGGACAGAAGGTTTTGTGGCGGGCACAGCGACAGGTACTCGCTGTTTGGTCGGCTCCAGGGGAGGGAGGGCGACCCTGAGGCAGTCCTTGTCATTCTTCTCTGGACGTAGGACCTGCTTGGACAGGGACTTGGGAATCCCACACCCTTGTAGCTGTCCGTCACTGCTCAGTGATCGAATATCCCCCATCTCCAAGGCCTGGTGTAACAGGAGAGAGAGAAGAGTGTCGACCACCTTCACAAAAACACACCACAATGACTCACGACTTACTAACCTTATCTGTATCTCCTTGGTTGCACACTCGGTAGCGCACGATGAGGAAGATAATGAAAGCGAGCACGGAYGCCACAATGATCCCCCCAATGACGACGACGATGGTCCCGCCGAGAAACTGGGACTGCATGAAGTGGCAGCTCAGGTACTGTGGCTCTGTGGAAAAGTGGACGCAGCCAATCACCCTGGTGGCCGTCAGAGACGTCACCTGGTCGTCGTAGATGGCCAGTACACACAGATCGTAGTGCGCGCCAGCTGCCAGGTTGTTCACCAGAATGTCTTTACTGGTGGGGGGTATCATTCTGGAGAGGAAGAGAAGCTTTGTGAGTTGGGACGTAGATTAGTGGAGTCTAAACAAAAGGGAAGCGAAACAAAATGGATTAACYGTCTTAATGTTATTGGGATGAAAAGATGTGACAATAATTTATCTCCCAGGGGGGACTGTTAAGGATCTGTCTATGCACAATCTGTTCTGACGTTCATTCTTTCCATGATGTCGCTGAAATCAGGGTTTGCTTGGAAGCCTCAGTTTGTTCCGAAGCTGCTGCTGACAAGCCATATGTGCTACTGACCTCAGAGTTCATTTAGGAAAAAAAAGAAAGGGGGATTTGCGTTATGATCCTATCACATTACAGTGATTAATGTTAAATATGGAGAGAAAGCAGCGAGGAATAAAGGAATGCTGCGTGCAGTGCTTCTTCAGATAAGCTTATGTCAAAGCCTCTCATGCTTTTATTTTTTTTGTGCAACACTGGAAGACGGTGCTTTCATCTTCCTGTGGGTCCACAGCTTAGTGCTGACACTGTGTTTTGATTTTGTTGATTAGGCATTATCAAGGCCCCGCACATAGTAAATAACACACAAGGGGGGATTATGAGGAGAAGGAGAAGAATTCAGGCGCAGTGCATTAGTCTGTCTTCCTGATGGGATTAGCAGATACCACAAAWCACGCTGGCAGTCAGGTCCGGCTCCTAATGACTGAACTTCTGATGGGATTTTAAAACACAAAGTGGTCCATAAAGATATATATTTTTTGTCATAGCTTACCTGTACACCAGTGAGTCATCATAGGTGCCGTTATACTGGATTTGAAACATGCGGATTCCGGGAATACTCCTGTGGAAGTTGAACTTGACCAGGGCTGAGGTGGAGTGGGCCTCGGCAATCACCACCTTCTTCTCTTGGCTCGTCTTGGCGTTCCCCAGAGGGACCCCCGCACTCGCCTCTGACCCTGTCTTAGACACTGTGGCGATATCGGACGATCCGGGGTCCGGCTCCTGATCCGCTACCGAGTTGTTGGTTATGTGGGGGAGTTTGGCGATGACCAGGTCCACTGTCTGCTGGGCCTCCCCAGCAGCATTGGAAGCCACGCAGGTGAAAGAACCTGCAACACAAGATAGGATGCAAAAAGGAACAATATTTGAAATAATTGTCTTCTATATTTTTTTATGTACAGAGCCACTATCCTCATTACTGTCCAATGAATTGATGGAACTCTTCACCCCTATTTGCAATAAACAATTTATCTCTTACTATTATTTCTCATTTTTGTCTTTCACTGGCATGAGATAATAATATGAATACCTTTATATACAACAAACAAAAGATTATAATAATATAGGAAGGACTTCAACAGGACATTTTTCAGATAAACACCACGCTGCAAGAAAAACAACATTCCTATGGCTCCTAAAGCAAAGACCTAATTGGACTATTCATTTTATAAATGTGAATAAAAACTGCTTTGGAACAGCTCCCCCGTGTCTGAAGCCTAATTTCATGGAAATAGTTTATCTGGCATTTGTCTTTAAAAGTGGTGCCAGTTCAGAATAATATTTCAGAGGCATGATTGAGACGGGAATTCAGATACACACCGTTTTGTTTTGGACACGTCAAGAGCAGAGCGATACGGGATGTCAGTCTTGCTCAACTTTAACAGGATTATAGAGGTGGAGATTGTAATCCCCTCAGGACAGACACCAGTGAAAGACCCGTCACTTGTAGCAGAACCTTCAGTTTAGAGAACTGGATCAAGTCACGGTAAAGAATAAAATAAAAACAGCAGCCCACATCTAATTTTAGCTCAATATTTGTAAAATAATTTTGTGTTAGTGTAATGTCAATTAGCTGTGACCATCTGGTTTATAATCTATTTAACTAAGAGACAGAAATAGGCTAAAAACAGTTTTACCCTCCTGAATACATGTGCTAAAACATTTAACAATATTTGCCTTTTAGAAAATATTACATTTCCCTTGTCCTGCAGAACAGATTTGACTTTTGTAASATACAAAGAATTATTTCTCCTTACTGTGATGCTTGTGTTTTGTTTTAAAGATGAGTGTTTTCTGTAATAAGTTTGTACATTACTGTGGACCTCAGTAAGGCTACAAAAATCTGACTTTTATTCAGCATAATGTAAGCATAATCTCATATCCTGKTCGTTTTCAATGGTTTTATGGCTCTTTGTGGACATAAATGTAATCAGAACTGAATGTAATGCAGAATTATGTAACATCCAATAAACCATGTGTTTGATCCTGTAAGTATACAGATCTCTTGCATTTACAAACTAAGCTGTTTGTCTGTTTTTAACTGTATTACAGCAGCTAAAGGGAGGAGATGCTTGTTTGATGCTGTTTCTACCGATTATATATTTGTTCTTATAGAAAAAACACAAAAAATATTTAAGGAAATACTCATTTTAGGAAGAATTCGTCAGAGCACACTTTCTGGCTTGGTAAAAAGACGGTGATGCATGATGGAGCAATAACACCAGTTGATGTTGCTGTTGCCTAAAATCCCAGTGACACAACCTGTGTGTTTGGTTGTGTTTTGTGTGCTGTGTTTTGAGTTCTTCTCTGTTTGTTTGGTTCATTGTTTTTGTCCTATTGTGTTTAGTTTGTGCTCCTCTGTGAGTCTTTGCTCGTCAGTCCCACCTACAGCTGCAACCTTTTCTCACCAGGTAAAAACACACCTTTAAAACCACAGAAATACCCATACATCAGTAAATTTAACAAAAAATTTACCCAATTTATGTGTGGAAGTAGCTGATACCGACCCCAACACGTAATACTAAGCATCAACAGCTTTTACAGCTCCTTGATTTAAAATTTTGTCATTAACTACTTGCCATTGAGTCTGTCTGTTAGCAAAATATCTCATGAACAGATTTTAATGAAACTTTCAGGGGGGGAAATGATTCAGCTGATGAACTTCTGGAGTCAACCCACAGCTAAAACCACATTTCTTTAGGCAACACAAAAACAGCTGTCAGTTTTACAGATATTGAGCAAAACCTTGGCATGATCTAGTCCTTCACAAATTTTCTAAGTGCTTCTTATTGCGCAAAATTCTTGTTTAAAACTTTGATATTCGATGTGAGTCAAAACATTTGGTCTATTAGCAAAAAATCTCAAGGAGCACTGGACAGATTCTACTAAACATTTCACAAAACAAGCATTGGGCCTCATGCAAGAACATGTTCGTATTCTTCTCCTAAATTTCTCTTACTTTTGTTCGTACAAAGGGTTCGTACGAACAYGTCACGTCAGATTCAACAAACTCTTCTATCTTCAGGAAACGTGCGTAAATGAGCTGCGTAAATTACACCTTTTCTATCCAGCTGCTCGTGCACGCGAGAGGAGATTAGCATAATTACCACCCCAAAAACACCATATAAGGCTATGCCTCAGATACAAGGAAGTGTTCATTCATTCATGAAAATTACAGCGAAAACTGAAAAAATAAAAACTTTACGMGTTCAGAGATTGAAGTCCGTCTGTCAGAGATCAAGAAAAGAAAATCCGACATGTTTAGCAGCTCAGCTGTGGCATAAAAAGAGCTGCTAAAAGTATAAACAACTGTGTTAAATCATTTTCATTTATTCAGAAGCCGCAGCGCTGCGCAGCGCTGTGCACACCCCGCGCTGCGGTGGTCTCAGGTGCGGGTTTGAAATAAGCATTTTAAAATGTTTTCAAAATAAGTCTGGCACTTTGGAGAAAATCAAGGACTCACTGGAGGGGTTATGTATCCCCTCTGGTCTGGGAACGTCTCGGACGAGCTGGAAAGTGTCGCTGCGGAGCGCGCGGGGTTCCCCCCCGCCGCACCCAATAGCGGATAAGCCGGCCGGCCGGACAATTTATAGTTAGTCTAAATTATTACATTTAAAATTATAACTCTAATTCAAGCAGAATAGCCTATTGTCAACATAATTATGGAGTGTGATTTATTTTCAACTCAAAATATCTTCAAACTAACGAAATATAAAGTTATTAGGGAGGAAAATCAGTCTGGATAACAGCAGACTGACTTCACGTAAAATATACGACAGGTCTGGACCACTCGTAAATTTTGTTCGTATCTGAAAAAAATCGTAGAATACGAAAACATTGGTGAATGCCACAAATTCTCCTAAATCACTCGTACGCACAATTTAAGAACAAATCTGTGCGTACGAACGGTTCTTGCATGAGGCCCATTGTGTGTACATCTACAACTCTAACTTTTGGAGTTAATCCATTTCAAGCTGGCTGCCACAGCTGATCCACATTATCCACAAAGAATGATTCTAACTCAGACAAATTGAAAGATATTGAGCCAAAAATTGGTGTGCTAGTAGCTGAGAGTCACAACTCATAATAAAAATTTGCATTAAGCCATTTTAATGAGCCAAACCATCTAAATATCCAAATATATGTTGTTTCTCAACATAAATGATCTTAAAGGTCTGGCTTGGTGGAAGGYGACCGTTTATATATTCCTTCAAGAAACGCTAGGCCTTTCAATTTTTAACAAGTTTCGTACTTCACTTTAGGTTGCTTACTATAATAAATGCCATCCTATTGTTCCAAACCTGCATATTACTTTGCTCCAGCCTCTCTTGTCACATTCTGTCTGGAACGCCTGCCTCTTTCATGCCCTCCAAACCCAAAAGGCCAAGTCTGCTGCGATTGGTCAGCTAATTGGCTCAAACTTGCCTGACAGCTACTACTGCGTCTTCTGAAACCAGAGAGAGCGTCTACAAGGCGAGACACCCTATTACTGTGTTACAACGCGATGTGACAAGCTTGGACTTTCAGGGGAGCCGTGCAGCGGTGAGAGAATAACTGCCTTCAGTGTGGACGTTGGGGGTTTTAATAAGCTGTAACACACTCACAGAGAGGGAAAAACCATCAAACAGTGTAATATTAGTGCTTAAAGCTGGGATGTGATGTTTGTTTAAATGTGAGAACAAACAGGAAAAAAAAGCACAGATTTCATCTTGTTCCGTGCATCAGCACATTAGGTCTCCACTATCTCCCCTTTCTCATCTGCTTAGACACTTCACTCTTTAGGCTTCTGTGGGCACAAGCAAACAACTAATTCGCTTCAGTCAACATCACAAGCGCAGCCGGCGGGATGTAAACACACCGGAGTCCTTGACAGTGCTGATGAGGATCTCCAGCGTTCCGTCCGCGTGGACCAGCGCCCTGGAGGAGTTGGACATGAGCCGTCCGTCCGGTGCGATCCAGTGGATATTGGGGTCGGGGTCACCCCTGGCTTTGCAGCGCAAGGTCACGCTCTGGCCCTCTAAAGCTCGCAGCTCCTGAGGCAGAGAGAAGAGACAGAGTYATGTGTCACCGCTGCTGGGATCAAACACTGAATTCACTGCAGTATAAAAGAGAAACTGGTCACAGTGGTTTTATCTTCATCACGGCCTCGATGATGATGTGGAGTTTTACAGTCCAAACTGATGTCGCGATTCTGAGTCAAGACTTTCACAACAGGATAATCAACATGACAAAACACTGCAGTGTACATTCTGAAGTCGCTTCTGCAGAACAGGTCTGCAGAATGTAAATGAGTTGATGTTGCTATAGTTATTTGGCAAGGATTCGATCCAGTGTTTCTGTTTGGATGCATGGCTCGAGGACTAATTCAGTGCGAGCCTCTGCTGGGCTTCAAATGCTTTCACCTCCCAGCCATCAATAAACACGCTAATTATTCCCGAACTGCTTTAAAAACTTGACCACAGTCCTGTACTTCAGTGTGAGGTCTTTTAGGAGGTATGCTGTTATAATAATCTGTTACTTGCAAGTTCAACAGTTCTTTTTAGCACTTTGTGAGAGGCCAGGAAAGAACAATATGCCAACTTGGATTAACTAAAGCTCCTTTTGGCTTAGAGGGTGTAACATATTGGCTCAAAGTAATTGGCCCATTTAAAGCAGTGTTCAGTGGAAAGGTTGAACAGTTAATATCTTACCTGTCATTGTTAGTTCTTTGGATTAGCTTAATTTTGAGTTTGATTTTGACCATTTGTTTTCAGCCAGTGAGCYGTAAGTCTCTGTTTTGAAAGTCCTGTTTGTGAAAATCACTGCCTACATTTAAATGCATTATTGGTTGTGCTTATTTTGTTGCTCTTCTCTCCCACATCATAACCGCTTCAGCCTTCTTTGTACCAACCTTGGCAGCCTCCCCCACATTTATGCAGTGATGGACATGGTTCTGCTAATTGGCTAGCAAACAACCGTGAAACTAATCTTTTTCTTATCAAATTAGTTTTTTTTCTGACTTCAAAATCATTATTTTTTTCCTTGAAAATCCTTAGCGGACCAATTAGCTTCCACTAAATTAGGCTCTGCCAACTTTGAAGTCAGCAGATTATTAGTTAGAGAAGCTAACATTTTGGTTAGCTTTGCCCACCACTGCAATTATTAAATAACTGGGGTACACGTTTGAAAGTAGAATAAATAGGTTTTGACAGTTAAAAAAAATTCCAACACAAAATTCAGTATTATTAGAAAAACGTTACATGTAAATCTATAAAAAGCTTAGATGTTTTTGGTTTAGCGCCAGTATCAATGCTTGTAATTGCAGTTTATTTATCATCTCATTGCAGCAAAAATTTCATCAGCTAAGTTGCTAAACTTACATTTAAAAAGTAATTCTTTGGTCCGTGATACATTTCCAAACTCTGCCATAAAAAAAACCCTAAAACCTCTGCCGTCTTTGTTTGTCTGTTTAATGAATTCTGGGATACCGTCAACCGTGTAGGATGCTCAGATGCAGCCTGCATTTTTGGGGTTTTGTCGACCACATGAGCAGGCGCCTATGAATTGGGACAACCTACGCGGTGCAGCAGTGACGTAGGCAGCCAACAAATGTGCCCTACGTCAGCTTGAGACACAGCCTGTGTTACTCTCGGCTGTCACAGGACCCCTTTCACTTAAGGGGGTGGCACGAGTATGACTATGGGCTAGAGTCAGAGGAAAGAGGAAAGAGCATCCCGTATGGAGCACTTAAAAAAATACGGGACACTCTAGCTAATACGGGACAGTTGGCAACCCTGAGACAGCCCAGTCAGACACTAACTGTAAACTTGCTCAGACTAGCATTAGCTTCGGTTGTGTCAGAATTAAACTTTAACTCTCCAAATTACAACCTACAACAGGTAACATCTTAACTGTAGCTTTTCCACAAAACCCCACATCTTTAACAGTTTACAGATCATTCAACTGATTTTACCTGGGAGTGCCTCGTGATGAGAGGAGGCTCACACAGGAACTCTTCCTCTGAAACAGTCCAGAAGTAGCGTCCAGCCAAGTGTTGTGGTGAGGCACAGGTCTCCAAATCGTCCTCCCTCCGCAGCCTCCGAAGCCACAGCAGCTCGCAGTTACACCTCAGCGGGTTTCCTCCGAAGCTCAGTGCGAATGACGAAGGCCCCATTATCCCAGAGGTGGCCAGGACTCCTGCTCTTTGGAAAACAGGGTCAGGAGGAAGCTTCTGGAGCTTGTTGGAGGTCACGTCCAGCCTCTTAAGCTTCTGCAGCCCAGAGAACGTCCCCTCTGGAATCAAACTGAGCATGTTATGGTCCAAATTGAGCGTGTGGAGATTGGACATCCTCTGAATGGCCACCCAGGGGACACTTTCCAAATTGTTGTATGATAAATCCAGCTCCTCCAGTGCTGTTAGGTCATTGAAGGCCCCAATGTGGATGTGGGTGAGCTGGTTGTTGTTGAGAATGAGGTGGTGCAGCTTGGACATCCCACTGAAGGTGTCGTTGGTAATGCGGGTCAGCCGGTTGCTGTCTAAATGAAGGGCTCGTAGGTTCTCCAGGTCTTTGAAGGCATGCGGTGCGATGGAACCTATAGTGTTCCGGGAAAGGGTCAGGTCTACCAGCTTGGTCATGTTTGCAAAGTCTTTCCGTTTAATGCTGGTGACAAAGTTGTCCCCGAGCCGCATCTCCACCGTGTGCCTGTCGATGTTGGGCGGGACGAACAGCAGCCCCTTTTTGTCACACAGAGTGGCCAGGTTGGGGTTAAGCACCTGACAGTTGCAACGTTTGGGGCAGATTTGAACTTTGTGAGCCTTCACAGCCACACCAAGGACTATCAGGTACACCAGGAGCGACTCCATTTGGGTTAAAATCAGGTTAACACACCTGAATAAAAAAGACAAGCAAGGCGAAAAAGACACAATCAGAAGAGTAAAGCTATTTATAAAACTGATTCAATTGCAAAACAAGAAAGTGTAATTTGTATCATATTTGCACCCACACAGTGAKAATACTCCCTTTTAAATGAGAAACTGGGGGAATCTGCCTGGGAGTTAAAGCTTTTTTTTCCCACCAGATTTGTAACATTAACCCTGCCAACTCAAAGCTTAGGGAATTCAGATTGTGGGCAGGAAGCTAAGCAAGTCAAAGCCTGAACAAACAATAAAAGCTGTGCAATTAGACATGAAACTAATTAGTCACCTGCAGACTTGACAGTGAAACATCCTCAGTAATCTAGAAGGAACTTTTTATTTTTTTGGTGGCAGCAATCGCTTTAAGCCCCCTGTTCCCCTGATCATACTTTTTTATGATATGATAATACAAGTCCTTTTATGTTTGTGTACAGAAGGATGAAAGTCTAGACTGGCAGTTCGGAGCCTCATAAGAATTAGATGGATATCTCTCAGGATCATATCGCCAATAGGAAAGGATGATTGGACCAGCTGCCTCGGTGAGGATGTGCTATCCTGTGCTATTGATTTTCTCTCTGTTCTCTCTGCTGCTTCTTTTACTTATGACACAGCTGAGACGGGGGATAAGATGGGATCCATCTGATGAATCCAGAGACATTGTCAGGGATGAAGAATGCCATAAAAACTAAGACCTCAGAGATCAGATCGCAGCTCTGCAGGTGTAGCACACCATGTTTCAGGGCAAGAGTCACATTAGACGGGATTGTGTGAAACCATTTTGGGTTGTGTGGGTGTCCCATTCTAGTGCACAGAAAGGTACAGCAACGAGAAACTAGTATTCCTTGAATTAATTTCTGTCGCCTGCCACCTTAGAGGTTAAGCTTGTGTGGAGAAATGCTGGCATTTTGGTCAAACCAATAAAGTTAAATAACACCAGAGTGAGCCCCACCTCTGCTGTCCACTAATAGCATCTGTGACAATATGGAGAAGCAAAAATGGCAGCTAAACAGGGCGTCGACTCACAGCTCTCATAGCAACTATAGATTAACAGAAAACCCAACTGGATCTGTGTCACAATCTGTAATCTTTTTAAATAACTTAATATAATTGTTAGTTGTGTTGATGTAATTCAACTATCATGTAAAACAGCTAGATATATACAAGAAAGATACATAATTTATTGAAACAATGATCTAAACCAGACCTAAAGTCAGTCAGTAAGACTTTTTAGCTGGTTGAAAACTTATGACTATAACTAGTGATAAAGTGCATTTATTTTTTCTTGCCTATCATAAATAATAATAAATATTTATCAGTCAATACTTAGAAAATTTTCATTCTATACCCGGTGATACTTTGGGATGAGACGTCTCTACTGATACTGGCTAACCATCTTCTCAACAGGTCAGTTTTGTGTAATAGAAACCTAAAAATAGTTAAATATAGAATATTATTTTACACTGTGTAAGTATTACATAAATCTGAGGCAAAACCAGCTTGTAATATTTAGTAACTTTTTTGTTGCTAAATTGTAGCATGATTTAGCAGAGTGCATCACTCAGCCAAATAAGATAAAATTTGCTCACTTGTGAAATGAGACACATTCTCCTGCTTTCTTCTGTTGGTACATACGTAACACATACAGCTTTCTGACATTTTTATTGGCTTATATAGCTTGTATACACCAATAAATTAATAATATTTTCATAAATATTATCATTAATAGTCAATCAGCCCTTATTTTTTTATTTTTGCCAAGTTCTTGCTCAGTCTGGTTGCCCCGCTYACACGGTCACATGGTCCAGACTCACTGCTGCTCTTATGGGTCAAACCTTAAAGATAACTTTATACTCAACGTCACCCGATATCTCGAGGTGTCGCACAGTGTGTTAGTGCTCAAAGTATGTCTTGAGAATAATTCTCAGCTACAACCATACCAAATTTTAGCTCAGCAGCTTTTAAATTGATAGAGTTTTTGCCATTTTTGCGTTTATGAAGATCGACTCCAAAGGTTTATTAGTTGGAGATGTACAGTCGGTGATTACTTTCAGTAAGTGTCTTTAGAATCCATCCAGGGGTTCATGACATATTTTGCTAAAAGATCAAACACTAGGTGATAGTGTAACACATTCCCAGTGTTAGTTCTTGGAGAGTTCATAAAACTGAGAACCTTTCTGCTTGGAAAGCATCGTCTGCAGCTGAGTGGTGACACACAGCTCACGATGTAATAACTTTGCCCTTCTGAGTGTGCAGAAAACCTCATAAAGGAAAACAGTGGACCGAACAGAAGTGACACACTGCCAAGTTTTTTTTTTTTCATATGGAGGACGCAAGTGAAGGAAGCCATGGAGGTACGATCACTGACATTTTGACAACCGGGCTAAAAACGTCCACCAGCCTGACACAAGGTCACCTTTAAATGGTCCGTAATAACATGGGGAGGAATATTACTAGAAGAACACGCTGACATTTTTATGAGCGCCGCAGATGAAGCCGCGATGAATAAATGTCTTTTCTTGACCCACTTTTACGTGGGACAACTTCACCAAATTGCAGAAGATTTGTGGGGTTTTATGCCGAGGTGTGGTGGTGCGTGGACCTGAGTTAGTGAGAAATGAGGTGTGCAGTCGTTGGTGAACGCCGCCATGATTCTCCGTAAAGGCAGGCTCGGTCCTCGGCCTCAAGCAGGGCCGAACAGCTAGTTGTTTTCAATTGCCTGTGTCGCAATTTAGCATCTGCTCTAATCTATGTATGCATCTGAGGAAGCCGCTAGAGCAGCTGAGGTGCACTGTGTGTGTGCATRTTGAAAGCAACCAGCTCCCGCTCTGATTTAACGCTACAGCCTCTGATTGTGCAACGAGGCAGAGACAACCTGCTACTTCCTGACTCAAACGGTGCTGAAGACGTGATATTGATTCACTCTGAGATCAGACACTTTTTTTGTTTGTTTTTGTTGTTGCTGAAAACTCAACCAATTGTGAAGAGAACTCTTTGCAAAAATCAGTGACAAAAAAAAAAAAAAAAAAACACGTCCGAGCCACCCGGGCAGGAAATATCTGTTACTGGTCCCTTTAATTTGCATTTAATTATGGATGCTCCACAGAGATTTGCATAACAGGTTGCACTCATCAGGTACATGGACAAATAAGTAGATAATCAATTATTGTGTTCATCAATCACGCACTTGATCTTTAAATGTCACACAGAAATTCATTATCATCCAGGTTGCAGAGCTCATTTCTACAAGGCGACATGGGAGGCCCAAGAATAAACAAGAAAGCAGACTGTTTTATTGACGCATCAACCGTAATCTCTGTTTTAGTCAATCAAACTTCCGTTTACTACCTCTGAGCAGGTACTTCCAGTCTTAGGAAACGGAGCAGACTGACAGCACACACCCACACACTGATTCGAGGCAACAAGCTCCAGCCTTCACATTCATGTGCAGCAGAATGCTTTAGCAGAGGATATCTGTGGTATCCCCCCGGGGTAGCATTTGCCAAGAAAATTCTTCTGCAGCATGCTGCGTGCCAATCAGCCTGCCAGGTCACGGGGGGTGGGATATGTTTTCAGATGGTCAAACTTATGGTGGAGATCATGTGAGAACGCCTCTGCTATCCATGTCTGGGCAGGAACTCAGGGAAAGCAGCCCTGCGTGAGTGAGCGAGTTAATGAGATCTGCATGGAGCGCCACGCGGGTCAAAGTGGCAGCCGTCTCACCCGGGTTACTCAAGGATGAGTGGCCGGACGTCTGCCGCTGACAAAAATAAGCTCGGCCGGGTTGCAGGAGGTAAACCGAGGCTGCGGCGTGATGGCTGAAATGATATAGACRAAGTAGTGAAATGGGTCCTCCACCTTATGAGGGCAAATGGAGCTGCTGCAGCTCATGAAGTGGGTCATATTTTCTCTCATCTGCTATTACGGGAAGCCATTTGTGTATTTATTCTGTATCCCTGATCTAAAATGTCATTTTAACCCAATAGTTTAAGACCACACCGCACTGTTGCACTGGTTTCACTAGTTAAACTAACTTCTTTCMAAGTAGTGGCACATTTAGAAGCAGAAGTCTTATTAGTCAACCTTTCTGCTACACTAGTAAACCAAAATCACAATTAGTTGGCTTTTTGGCAYGCTAGTGAACCACAGGACCAAATTAGTTGACGACTGTGTCAGACAGGGTAACTAGTAAGCAACAAAAATCTTTATGTGTTAACTAGTCAACACAAATTATGCCTTAACTAGTAGCTGCCAAATATACTGTAGTAAACACTAGTCTAGAGGATGTGAATTTATTCCAACTAGTTAAGCAGTGTGCCTACAAACAACATGTCAACTAGTTATCTAAAAAGCCAAGCTTAGTGATGCTTGTTTACWATTTGGTGATTTTACAGACACTAGTCAACAAATGAAGCCAAGAAAGCTTTTTGGCCATTTCTGTCATGATCTGTGTCTTTTGTTAGTTTTGTTTAGTCTTTTTGTATTTTTTGTCTGCTCCCTGTCAATCAATCCATATCATCATCATCATCATCATCATCATCATCATCATCATCATC